AGTAAACGAAGTTTAATATCCAATTGATCACGAGTTTCTCTTCCGTTTTGCGATCTCCTGTGTTGTAATATTCCATGTGGTGTTTAAGACACCTGAGGATCAGTTTAACCAGCACAAGTTAAAGATTGGGCTACAAGCTGATCCCAGACATCGCCATCAATGTCGCCAAACGCCGAAATGTTGCCGCAAGTGGGTAGAATTTCAGCGGAAAATTCGGAAACTCAGGGAGTAGGCTCTCAGTAGGTATATCCTGGCCTAATATGAGAGATAGAAACGATTAGAACACGGGACTGCTCCCAAGTTAAAGCCGACAAATCGACTTGCGCACGTCACATTTGTGACTTGCAAGTCACTATTTTCAGTGACCGCCCATAAGGCCTTGGGTGGAGGTCTCAGGATCTCCAAGGCCTTGGTTAAGGGTAAGGCCTTGGCCAAGGGCGCCTCTAAGGCCTTGGCTGATTTTCCCCACGCATCCAGCCGGTATCAGGAACAATAAATTTAAGCTTTAAATCTATTGATATTAGTGGGACCGGCCTACCTACCTACCTCATCCGAATCACTGATCCCAATGGCGCCGTCGTCCGGACGTGCATCCAATTCTACAGCAACACATCCCTTGCAGTAGGACATGTACATAGATGCGGTTTGTTTGGCCCTGCATCAAAAATAATCCCATGGCGGGTTTTCCACCATGAGTCCGAGTCGGAGACTGGATGGCGTCGTCAACGGAGAAGAAAAGATGGGAAAAATAAAATGATATAATAATACACACGTGGTGCTCTAAGGCTTGGCCAAGGGTGGAACTTCCGGCCGAAAATCGCCAAGGCCTTGGGCCTTGGGCGATCACTGACTATTTTAACTTGTGGCGTCGCCAAATTAACTTGCCCACCGAAATCCACGTGCAAGTTAAAACGAGTTAATTTGCCCTGGTACAAGTTAATTTGGCAAGTCAAAAAGTGAACCCTCGCGAGCGATTCATGGGACGGCTGTGCTTTATACTCGAGTCTCAGCATTCTCTGGTCGAGCCAAGCGTAGCTTTGAAAAGGTAACGTGCCACTATAGGGAGGACTTCCGATTCATCTCTCCACGTGTATCGCTTGGATTGTCCCTGGACACACGACCGCATGCTCGGGCGTCGGTGGCCATCGTTAGCTGATCGGTAGCCGCTTCCGTCTTCAGCAGATTCGTTTCAAACACCGTGCTTTGAAATATGTCAAAAAAAATTATACCACTACACCTTTTTCCTCGTGACGAAATCGAGATTATACCCTGACGGAGGAGCGCGAGGTGAGCGGGGACATGGTGGTCGATAAGACAAAAGATTGGCTATCACCGCTTCTCTGGTCCGTGCGCAAAATGATTGCTCTTTGTTGCGGCTCAATCGGCCGAACATAAGCACAGCCGCCGCGGTCCACTATTAATTAATTAACCGTTCTTTAACGAGATGGTGGAAATCCTGTGCTCTTTCCCCTTATATCCTTGCTCCTTCGTTGTTTCTCTGTGGTGGTGGGCAACGCCGATTGCCGAATCGTGACGATCACGTGTCCCGTTTACTCGGGGAATGTCCCAAATTTGTTGACCCACCAATCTTCGCGCTCGAACGAGCTCATTCTTGCAGGAAAATATTTAACTTGGTTTCAGACGTACAGTTTAATATGTCATAAGCATAATAGCCAACCGACACATTGTTTGAGGCCCAGGAGACACCCGAAAACACGTAACTTTACTGCGAATTGTAATGCCGATTAAGCCCGACACGAATCGACCAAGAGTTGGATGCATTACCTGGGTGCATTTTGGTGGGTCTTTGTCTCCAATATACATCAAACAGCATTACATTGACTATCTATGGAGGAATTTTGCTTCGAAATGGGCACACAACTGAGGTATGGCCCAGTCGAAGCGATGTTGCACGATCAAAACATACATAAAATGATGCGACCTGCATGCGTCTGAAAATCTTTTTATATTCACGGTGGAGAATGGGCCTTAGATCACTTGAAAAACATTTCTGATAATCCATCGGGGAATGCAGCCTCCAGCCTGGATTTTCTATTTTCTTACTTCCGCTGCAGCAGTAGCGACTTTACCGGCCAAAATCAAACCCGCTCCAAAGCATCGTCAAAATTAAAAATTCAGGCCTGGAGACTGCATGCCTCTACATATTTAGAGCATATTATTCGTTGTAACCAAGAACATTGGGGATGTTTTGACTCTCGAAAACCTTCTCGCGAGTTCTGGGTCAGTCGGAATGGGTCTTTTGATCAAGTGGTCAATCGTGGGAACTTCGATCAGACATCAGTCATTGCCCACCACCATTCTCTGGCCTCTTGCTATTGTCATCTCCTTTTGCCCATGGGATTTCGCACACTTTTGAACCCATGATGAACTACGCACTTCATTTCGGCTCCATCCGAACTGCGCCGCAAACTTGGACAAGCTCCATTCGGATCATCGAGCGGTCGAAACAAGCCTCGTGAATCAACGGCTGCCCAGAGAACACTCAATTCCACTACAACATTCTCACTGCGGCGCAGGTATGTCATACTGCGGAAATTTTCATATAAACCGACGAGTATTCGCCGTTGCATTTCACCTCTTTCCGCTTTCCCGTCACTTACGGCTCATCCCTCAATATGTTTTCCTACCGCTACGCGGCCTCTGACACACCCGATAATGAAATCTCTTCTCTTCCAAGCTTTACTGTCTGCTCTCAATTATACCGAACCCAAACTCATCGATCATCTTGCTTGCACAACGTCTGGTATTGTTCGCACCACGCAACAACTCAAGATTGGACCCAAAATGGAGCTCTGTTGTGTCTGTTGTTCGTCATCCGAACTTTTTTGGTTCCGTTGCGCAAAGGCTCTTTGTTTCCCTTCTTTGGCGCACCCAACTGCGGCGATCCCTGGCCCTCATACCTCCAGCCCGTGCCGAATGGCTTCGAGACAGGCTTTCTGGCCATCCACATTCTGGCGGATCCGGGTCTATGATCGTCAAATTTTCCCGGGTGAGTCTCAACGTTAATCTCCTCGCAAAATATTCAACTGTAAATGATTTTCGCCCCCAGGACAAATGCATAATGAAGGGCACTTCATCGGACTTCATCGATCACCTCCTCTCTTGACGCGGCATCTCTGTCGGGGGATTCAGCTGCGCTGTGTATTATCTGGGTATGCTATCTAGCCACAATCTTCCTTTAAAAATCCACTCTCAACGTAGGCAACCTGTCCCTTCACTCTTGCGAGCATGCAGCACATGCACGACATCGATTTCAACATTTCCCTCCCCACGATTATCAGGCTACTGCTGGGGCTCGGTTGTCCTTTCTTCAAGATACGTGTGAGGAAATTACTTGAACGTTCGCCTCTGTTCACTATCTTCACCACATGTCTGTAGTATTTCTTTGCTATGTTATTCGGGTTTATCTCAACGACTCACAAGCAACGGCTCTGAGAGCATCGCCCGTACAAGTTAAATCTTTCATTTTGAGTTCCATTGCGATTCTGGATCCTACCTGATTCCCCATTTGCCGGAGCGAAGCGAGGCTTATCTTGTCTGGTAAGTCTGTGGTCATGACTCGTATATCTGACTTCACCGCAGAATAAATAAATCTACAAATGTTTCTGCATCACCTCCTTCACAACGTCCAACGGCAAAGCTTCAACCACCAGCCCATCCACTCCTACCATCGACTCAGCCATACACACCGCGTTCAAAATCGCCTCCTCCACGGAATCCGCTGCAGCCTCGAACAGCCCATTAATCGATCGGTCGTCCAAGACCTGTATCTTAGCCGGTTTCGGCTTCCAGATATCTACCATCCCGCTGACGGGTATCTTGTTCGCCGTGCTAAACGCCAGAAATATGTCGCCCGACGGATTGTGGCCCATGCCACCGACTCGCGCGAGGCCCATGGTAGCGCGTTTGGCAAGGCGCTGAAGCTGAACGGGATGCAACGGTGCATCCGTCGCGATCACAATCAGAATGCTGCCGTCTTTCTTGTCCTTCTTTGAATCAACCTGTGCCATTGCATCCCTCGCCGCTACCGCCTCGGCTGAATTTGCCTCTGCCGCTTTCTCCCTGTCGCTCCACAGCCGCCGACCGACCGGCGCCCCCCGAACGTGGAAGTCCCGCATCCGCCCGTAGTTCGCTTGAACGAGAACACTGACGGTATAGTTCTCCTTGCCGGCTCCGGCCGCGGCGGGGACGACGCGGCTCGCACAACCAGTCCCGCCCTTCATACCGTGACACACCATGCCCGTACCGCCACCAGTATTCCCCTCAGGCACAGCGTCCGCGCTCGCCCGCTCGATCCCACGCACAATGTGTGAAGGCTGCACCGTCAGATGGGCAATATCATTGCAAATGCCATCGAACGTCTCTCCAACCACGGGCAACACAAAGTCCATATCCCCATCGGCATCACGGTAGTGCGCGATACAGTGCTCGTAAATGCCCTGATGCGCCGCGCCCACGGCATACGAGTTGGTCAGAACGATGGGCGAATGCAGCAGGCCGGTTTCCTCGATCCAGTGCGAACCGGTGAGCTCGCCGCAGCCGTTGAGGCGGAATATCCCCGCGTAGCAGGCGTGGTGGAAGAAATCCATACGCGGAAGGATGGTGGTGAGTCCCGTGTTAATTGGGCCGTGAGTCGAAGTGCGGGGTAGGTGGATAGACTCAGTGTGACAGAGTACACCTTCGACGTCTGTGAGGGAGTTCCTGGGTCCTGGTCGAAACTCTCCGAAGTGGATACCAGGCAGTAGCTCCCTGAGGTGACAGCGCGGAATAGTCATGGTGTCGGAGCCTTGCTGGAAGCCAAAGGGAATGCGATTGTATTTCTGCGGCACCTGGGTCTTATAAGTAGGAGATTGCTACCAGCGATGCGTATCATTGCTGATCCCGCCAAGAGAATTGTGGAGATACCTTTCGAGAGTTTTATTCGGCTTCAACTTGAGGACTCCATTTCATAAGAAGTTGAAAAGTCCAATCACTTGATCTCATAGGTGGTCTAGTGGTGCGATGTCCACCTTTCATTTTGAATTGACGTGGTTGACCGGGCTTCGATTACTCGCTTGGGACATCTTTTTGGCTTGTTTCTGTACAATTGGCGTGCTTGTACTGCGATTATTGTTTAACGCTATCATTTAATATTGCCCGTGCAAGGTCGATTGTGGAGTAAACAGTTTTTTCCCGAATGCTTTAGCACCTGAGAATCGCTCGATGCATGAGTATGATTGAGTGCAAGGAGAAGATCTGATGCAGGTCGAACGGCTCAATTATGCTCACGCGATCCGCAACATGAACAATGAGTTTATCGAAAACAAGCATCTAGGAAGTTGAAGTAGGAACATACATGAACCTAAAAGATGTCAAAGGAGTCTGAGCACACAGGGTTTGATTCCCACCGAGGGCTCAACATGACAACAAGGATGACGACTTTTTTTTTTTTTTTTTTTGACGTCTTGCTTGTAGAGACTACGCGGCACCATGACTCAGGCGAGCCCACCATGTTCTCTGTATCTCCACGGCTTATGCGAGAGATTCTGTAGGTTCAGTTAACATCCAGTTGGCATATCGTCGCCTGTCCGGAATCCAAATCGACTTAAGTGAACGTATAGGTAGTTATCTATCTATACAAGCACCAATATTAAGCCGTTGTGGATCAATGCAGATCGCATCTTCTCTGTACCTGGTTAGTCTCTTAGAAACAGACGCTACAACATGTCCCACTGGTACCTACCTAGTAGGTGTTGGTTATCATGGAAGAGATGTGGGTTCAGTTCCCACAACATGGTGCACGTTCCAAGATCATTCTACCTCTCGGTCCTCGTCTCCGGGATTCAGGATGTACCGCAGGAGGTTATTTTTCGAGGTTGAAATCACGGATAGTTAATGTAGGTTCATTGTCACCCACGCGTTTGACTGCCACTGCATATTGGATGGCTCCACACTACATACGTAGAGGACTATGCAGCATCGATATAATCCGTCGTGGACCATGATAGTTCCTTCGTACTGAGTATCCGGGCAGTGCTTATTCCGCCCGAAATATCCCAACAAACACTGCGGTCGGCCCTGCGGCGGTGTGGCATGCCGATTCCGCGGTCGTCTCTGGCTGGTTGCATGCTGCACCAACCGAGTCTGCCAGCGTCAAATTGGCTGAGATGAACCGTGGCAGATGTCCGAAAAATCACGGCAGACTTCGGCATGCTGCCAAACAATACTGGGTTGTAACTGATCAGAGGCAGTGTCTTGAACGAACACTCCAAGAATTGGGGATCCCGTCTGTTCAACGTACCAGGTAATCATCCAGCTTTCTCCTCGCTGATGCCAGGGCCACCTACTCGCCATACTTACTCTGGATTACTTAGCGACGTTGTTCAATTTGCAGGATCGTCCTAACGCGGTCTGAACCGTCCGCGGAGATTCATTGTTGGTCCTAGGGCGATGCCTAGACCTGATCCCCGCGGCCCAAGCGACGTCACGTCTGGGTGATAAATTTCAGGCAGAGAATAGAACATCAACACGTAATTGATGTTTCTGTGCGTCCAAACGCTTCTGTTCAAAAGCTACATTTGCACAAGGGCCTTGATAGATAATACAACGTGTAAATACAGTAACTCTACAGTGGATCTGATAAATAATGAATAAATAATAAATAAAGTTAAATAGGTACGCTCGATAAATCGAGCATTTTGGGTGAGTCGAGGGCCGTCTGGGGTAAACAGGCGAATGAGAAGCAATAGTTCAGCTCCAGCCCAGTTCCCCAAGCCAATCGAATTCATCGTGGGCCAAGTTTGTGTCCGCAAAGAAGGGCATGGGCGGCAGAGGATGTGGATTTGTCGCACTTTCCGCGGGGACACGGTGGACGGTGTGGTACTGCGACGCGTGTGCAGTTTGCAAGTCAAACGCGTAGTTTGTGCTGGAATGAGCGTGAGGGTTGAGAGAGTAATATGAAGGAGTGGGCATCGACCGCTGCATCGACATCGATGGGGGTTCGTGTCGGAGTAAAAGGTCGGCGGAGTTCGCGTTGGAGAGAACGTGAGAATTGAGGGGATAAGATGACGGAGTGGGCATTGGAGGCTGCATCGACATCGAGGCGTGTTCGTGTCGGAGTCCCAGGCCGGGATAATGCGCACCGGCGTACCGCGGATGATAGTGGGTGGGCGGGGGAACAATGTAAGGAACGGGCCGCACGGTACGGCCTCCCTGTTGTATGCGAGGATTAGGCGAAGGTGGGGGTGCCGTCCATGGACTCGGCGACGGCGTCGAGACAGGGAAGTCCCCGCTAGGGAACTCCGGCGTCTGAGGAGAGCTAGAGGAGGACGAATAGTGGTCCGGCTCGCTCGCCGAAACATATTCGCAGGGAAGTTTCTTCCTCGTGCAGCGCGCGCATGGGTTGACAGGCGGCTGCTCGCTCGTTAGGCACCGAATTTTGCGCTTCCGGCAGCACACACACGCCATAAGCGTGCGCCGCCGCCTGATCATGGATGGCGCGGACCGTTGAGATTGCTGGGCCGGTTGGTTTGCCCTCGACATCGGATGCCGGATGTCTTTCTGGAGGGATGCATCTGGTATAAGTATGTTGCTCGTGTCACAGTGAGAGATGTTTCGCGACGGTGAGCAGACGACAAAGGCGATGGTCCACCTGCGTAAACAGGACCACAACAGCAACCAATTGATTGGATCTAGATAGTTTTTGATTTCCGTTAAACGACCGGGCGCTGGTGTGGCTACGACATTTGAACAACTCGACATCGTACCACGGATTCATCAACCGTCACCTTAAGCCGCGCCTTCTGCCGCATTTCGTGAGCCCATAGCCGGCGGCCGGAGGCAATTCCTCCATCCGTGTATATCCGGTTCCTACCTGAAACAGCATAGAGGCGATGCCTTATGGATCGCAGCACAGGTTCCGGAACATCAAAGCGGTGCACTGAATGATTTGCACTGTACGCGGAAACGATTCACTGCAGCCGAATGCATGCTAGTCGGTAAGGGATCTCCACGTGGATCGTCCAGGCACAATTGAGGGGTTGTCGTTGCCAATAGCAACAAGAGAGATTCAACCCACAGTACGTTGTGTGCAAAAAGGCGCTGTTAATGCCCCACTGGCCGATATCCAATGCGCAGCTTGGGTTATACGATGTGGAGAAAAAAAACGGTGAGGCGGTCACCGAATGCGCCTGGCGCTATATTTGCATATAAGTACGCGCCAAAAAGCAGGGCCCGAGTTGGGGAGCGCACATTTCTTGCAGAGGAATCGACTCGGAGGTCCACGGTATACGTATGTGACGTTGCATTGATTCCTGAACGCGATTGAAATTTGGAAGCGATGACTTGGAAATTGGTCATTCTATAAATGTAACAAGAGCGCGGTGGGCCGCTTTGCGGTCCACACTTAGTCATTAGCGCTTGAATTGGCGCCTTACAAATGTTCCCCAAAACTCCGAGCTGATTTCCCAAAAGCGGAGTTTAAAGGCTTCGGACATGCTTAATTTTATAAAGAGTAGGATAGGATAGGATAGGATAGGACACTCTTCCTGCAGGTATTTTTGACTGAGAAGTTACTATTCAAATATTCATCCATTTCTCCAAGTACATGAGGCATTTTCTGCACCCAGCTTGACGATGATTTCGCCGGTTATCGGCAATCGTTTTATCCGGCATAATGTTGCCGCGACTCGAAAAGTCGAGTCACGACTCCAGAAGTCGACTTCAAAACCCGATCCACTCGACTCGACTCGACTTCCCGTCCAAAAGTCACTCGAAGTCGACTCAAGTCGACTCGAGTCGATGGAGTCGGAGTTTTTTGAATATTCTCCGCAGAAAGATCTGATGCTGTTGTAAATTGTTGTGGGACACCCCTGTAACTCCAGTAGAGTGTTCTCAGATAGTTCTGAGGTATGTTTACCATTGCCGGCGTCCTCAGATAAAAGTGATGGGACATCAACATTTGATCTTTTGACTTTACCGTCGCATTTTTTCAAGTTAAGGACGTTTCACTTCATGTAGTAAGTTTCAGAGTGTTCTATGCCTCTTTCCAATCCTGCTCAAATGTTTTTGAGGTGTGTTGATCGCTACTGAAGCCGCTTCATAACCCTCGCGACGAGTCGGAGAGAAATGACCATTCAATGTGATTTCAGGGTATTATCCGAGTTCTTTCGACTTCTCTGAGCTGTAACCGATGAACGGTACCCAATTGAATTTTGAGACCGACTCCGAGTCCCTCGGAGTCGGTGCAAGTCGACTTGGTTCGACTTGGGAGTCGCGCGAAGTCACATCTGTGACTCGACTCGACTCGACTTAAGTCGACTTGCAGAGTCGACTCGGAGTCTCGGAGTCGCGAGTCGCGGCAACATTAATCCGGCATATCGAAGTGTTATCCCCAGTGAGAATGGCGTCGAGCCGGGGAAGAGGCAGACCGAATCATCAACGGCATACGGAAAAAATCTCGGGCTACGGCAGCTTTTAGGGGATACAGTGCTACTATCATAGCCCCTCATAGCGTCATAGCCTGAGGTTATTTTATTTTATTTTTGCGGATGGGCTCCGTCCGATTTTTGTTCAGCTTTTGGTTGGATGAGTGTACCTGAAAACGTGCTTTGCATGTGGATATCTATTACAGTGCATTGTTACAGACGATGCACTGTAGCTGCTTTGAGCAGTATATTGCACATGCATCGCGCTCGGCGCCACCCAGACTAGCAGGTGTCCAGGCGAAAAATCAATACAGTGAAATCAATATAGTTCAGCGATGATTATCTCCATTCACTAGGTAATACCAGCTGTCTTCTAATATAACTCACTGACAGAAAAGATCCAGGCACACGTCATCCGGGGGGTTTCAGGTGGTTCTTCGCATGCTGTGATTGGCATCGGGTGTCGGCGTGTCCGTCCTCGCGGTTTCAAACCACGCCAACCCAGTACGGAAGACGTTCCAAACGAAATGGGAAGACGGTGCGACACGGTTCGAACAAATGACAGTTTAGGAACGGCAGGCCGCAGGTTGTTCATCGGAGATCATTCATCGTATAAGTGATTATTCCGTGCCGAAATCGTTTAATTGCCTCGTAGAA